GTGTTGTTTTGTTTTAAATGAATAAACTTTATAATAATAATAAACATATGGGAGCTTGTTGACTTGCCCAAAAAGAAAAAAGTTCAGTCATGTCCACTGCTTGTCGTTTAAATTTTGGAAAGTGTTTTCAGTGAAACTTTGCTTGGTATTGGTCATTTTTTTACTCTGTTGAAAGCGGTACACAGCGGTCAGATATGACCGTTTCATTAAAATAATTTAGTGTTCTTGTATTAAAATTAAATATTCTTTAATAGCTAAATTGATAACAATAAAAGGTTTCTACCTTAAAATTTCTGGGACCATTTGACTGTTCCTGTTAATGTGTCGGTTTGGTCTTAAATGTCATTCCTAATGGTCTTAAAAGGTCTGAAACCTGCATGAACCCAGTGTAAACAGTCTGCTCTGCTGCAGGACGATTATGTGGAGGCTCTGGATCGGCTCCACCACACCGTGTCGCAGGCCTACAGGGTCAACCCGGAGATCAACTTCGAGGTGTTCATCCACAAAGTGGACGGCCTGTCGGACGATCACAAGATCGAAACGCAGAGAGACATCCATCAGCGAGCCAACGACCATCTAGCAGACGCAAGTTTAGAGAAGCTGCACCTCAGGTACATGTGAACACTGCAAGGCAGGAGGAGGGAAATATATGTTGACACTTTAACTCTAAAAAACGTGTTTACATGAGCAAGTTATCACCTCTCCTGCTGACTTTCCTCAATGAAAGAGGATACTGGAAAAACTCAGAATTCTGACYTTTTCCTAATTCTGAGGAAAAAATGTCAGAAATCTGAGATTAAAATTAGATTTTTTTTTCCAGTGGCCCTAATCCTCCTTCGTACGCTTCTGAAGTTACAGTCCATTTTATAATAACTTCCTTTGTTAAGCAGCACTTGGCCAGCAAGGCTGAATATTTTCTTACTCAAACGATAAACACACATCTGTCCAACAATAAAACTCTACCTCCTTAATATATATATTTCCTTTCAGTTATTATGCCTGTCTAGTTTGAGTAATTAATGGAGCTCGTGAATTTATCTTTTAAAACTGTGAATTTTTTTCTTTACCTGCCTCTACAATTAGCTTCCTGAATTAACACCATCTGTTTCTAAAAGGAAGTTGATAATTTATTTCTAATTTAAACACATTGATTTAACATTTTATTCAGCTCAACAAGTGCCGTACCACGTTTGAGGTTCTTTTAGTTTCATTTAGATTTTGAGGAATTTATTGCGCTCATTTTACTTTTTTCATATTCATAAACAGAAAAGTTTAGTGACCGCCAACCCTGAAAGTAAGTTTATGCTCGTAGTGTAAATTTTGACTTCATTAAGTAATGTTAAATCTAAACAGCTTTATAAATAGTCTTTTTTGCCCTACAGTTGTGGAAAATGTAGCAAAATCTAAAATAAGACGAGTTGAAATAAAGACTGTCAGGCTTAAATTGTTTTATTTCCTTAATGATCTTTGACACATGTATGTGAGGTTCCTCTCAGCTCTGCTAATTAGGAACAAATACAGCGCTGAAATAAAT